CGCCCGGACGCCGAGGGCGCGGGCGCCGGGCGGGGCGGTCCCCGCGCCGCGGAGCCGCCGGGCTCGGCCTCGTCCAGCAGCCAGGAGTCGCTGCGCCCCCCGGCGGCCGCGGCGGTGGCGGCGCTGGGCTCGCGGCCGTCGCGCATCGAGGCGCTGCGGCTGCGCCTCCGCGGCACCGCCGACGACATGCTGGCCGTGCGGCTGCGGCGGCCGCTGTCGCCCGAGACGCGGCGGCGCCGGAGCAGCTGGCGGCGCCACACGGTGGTGGTGCAGAGCCCGCTGACCGACCTCAACTTCAACGAGTGGAAGGAGCTGGGCGGCGGCGGCCCCCCGGAGCCCGCGGGCCCTCGGGCGCACAGCGACAACAAGGACTCGGGCCTCAGCAGCCTGGAGTCCACCAAGGCGCGGGCCCCGTCGTCCGCGGCCTCGCTGCCGCCCGGGAACCCGGCGGCCCTGCAGAGCCAGCCCCCGCGCCGCTCGGCCGCCTCCCGCCTCCACCAGTGTCTGTGACCGGCCGCCCTCCCCCAGTTTTCTCTGGCTTGCACCCCCTTCTCCTCTTGCCCCCCGGTGCGTCTGGCGCTGCAGGCCGCGCCTCCCTAGTTTGTGTGCGGGGACGGCCAGGAGGTGGGCAGGCGAGAAGGCCCGGCTGGACGAGCAGTTGTGGGGGGGACCCCGGAGGTAACAGGAGTGGGGGAGACGAGAGGGGCCAGGCTGCTAAGGGCTCTGTGACAGAGTGGGCCCTTCTGTGTCTGCACTTAGAGACCCTTGTTGGCCATGGAGTGTGGGTAGGGAACCCCCAAGTCTCAGACTAAAGGAAAGACACAGGGTGATGCTGGCTCTTGGCTTCTTTCCTCTGCCCCTGTCCATTAGCTCCCAGCTCCCAGCTCCCAGCTCCTCGCTGAGGGGAAGGGGGTGAATGTATGCCAGGGGAGAGGAGACGGAGCAGGGTGGTGTCCCTGGGGGAAAGGGAGCCTGTGTGCCAGGGCGCGAGTCACTGTCAGAAGGTGTTTCCGTAGCAACTTCTGCCACTCCTGCCCCACCACGCTCACCAGGGCGCCCTGCCTTTGCTGCCTCCAGGGATCCTGCCCCTGCTGCTTGTCAGAGCCAGGGAAGGAAGTTAGGGCTGCTCCACAGAGGCAGGACTGAGACTCTTACCAAGGTTACTCCCCTCACCAACTTTTTGCCAACCCTTAAACCACCCTCACTAAGCGTGTTGACCATGGGGAGCTAGCTGCCCGTTCCCCAGAGACTTAGGGGAGGGTCCAGGGTCCCCCTCCCCCCCCCACCACTTCCCCAGGCCTCCCTTGCCTGTCTTTTCCTTCTTCCAGCTGTGCCTGCTTCTTCCACAACTCAGGCACACAGACCCCACCTTCTTCCTTTAGGAGGGGGCGTAGGAAACATCCCTGGTGTCTCACTCTCTTTCTCTCTCCCTCCTCTCTCTGTCACACACCACACACACACACACACACACACACACACACGCGCACACTGATTTATGGGGTCTGAGCTGGGCTGTTCCTTCAGGATGGGCGGGACCCAGCCCCCTCTTCTTCCCACACTTTGTAAATAGACCTCAGACCACCAGGCCTCCCCACACATGCCCTCACTTATTCCAGGGAAGCCCGGGTGGGGTTGTGAACCCCACTGCCACGTCTGTCGGTCCTCTTGTTTTATGCAAAGATTTGCTGTAAAGTAGATTTCTCTCTTCTCCCTCCCTGATCCTTTTATTGTAAATATTGTCTCTAAATGTGTAACATATTATAAAGAATTTATAAGGATTTTTAAAGATGTTTTGCTCATTTAAAAAAGTGTTGTAACAGTGTTGGATAAGCCTCTGGCCCCACGTGCGCATGTCTCCTTTCACTGTGTCCTTGACACACCTCTCTAGGCGACAACTAAGATTTCCTGCTTCTGAAAAGTCCTGTCTTAAAAGTATAGTCTCTATCTTGGAAATAAATGGCCTTCCTTGAGGCACGAGTCAGCTGTGTCGCTTGTTTCGGAAGGAGGGAAGGGCAGGAGTGGAGCTGCGAGGGGAAAAGTAGGAGGGGCTGGACCGGGTACTGGCTGAGTGGAGACACACCTCTGCCTCCTGCTAGCTTTGTAGGTATCCTTGGGGACTCGCATGAGCAATGACATGGGCACGGGATACAAGCCGGAAGGGTGGCAGACCCTCATTGCTGCAAGAGGTTGCCATGTGCTTTCTGGACTCCTCTAGAGGCCAGGTAGGTGCACAGGCACCTTCCTTCTCAGGCCTGCCTAGACCTTCAGAAAGGTCCAGAGGTGCTGCCCAGCAGACAGGAGGCTTGGGCAAGGCCCAGGCCACTGATAGGCCCATCCCGGCTGGCTGTCACCAGGGGCACTCTAGGCCCATGCAGTATCCAGAGAGAACAAGAATGGGTTTTGTCCATTGTCTTATCCCACACGTGCAAGTTTACAACATGGGATGGGCTTTCTTCAATGTCATGGTTCTAGAGGTACCATTGCCAGCTTCCAGGCTGCCTCTGATGGGCGTCCTGTAGGAAAAGCAGGTGACATTCCTCTAAGAGAACCTAGGGGAGAGCCCTGGAGCTGGGTAGAGCTCACTCACTGAATCCTCCTTCCTTTCTCTACCCTCCCCTACCCCCAGGTTGTTTTTGTTTGGCAAATGAGCTCACTGCTAGTGTTGTGGGCTCACACAGGCCCCAAGTCCCAACTCAGTCCCGCAACACTTTGGAGCTCCGCATCATTGTTATCTCCATTTTATACAGGAGGAAACTAAGGCACAGAGAAATGACGACCTGTCCAAGGTCACACAGCTAATAAGCTGGTGGAGCCGGGATAAATCTAAGCCCAGAGAAAGGACATAAGTTTAAGGTTACCTGCCCATTGGGATACCTTCTCCAGGCTGTATTAGGCTTTGGATGTAAAAGGCAACTGCCTAGGGGTGCCTGGCTGGCTCAGTTGGTAAAGCATCTCTTGATCTCGGGGTCATAAGTTCAAGCCTCACATTGGGCATGAAGCCTACTTTAAAATAAAATGAAATTTCAGACCCATTATTTAAAAAAATAAATAAAAGGCAACTGCATAAAACAATAATTATAAAACTGTGTCAGCAGTTTTATAATCTGCTTATAACCTCTATGGATGAGATCTGTATGACATTAGTCGTACAAAGGTGTGGGGAGGGAATGGGGCTAGACTGAAGCAGAGTTTTTATACACTATTAAAATTAACTTAGTATTTATCCAAACTATATTTATTTTTTTAGTTTATTTATTTGTTTATTTATTTATTTTAGTAACCACTACACCCAACGTGTGGCTCGAACCCATGACCCTGAGATCAAGAGTCACACACTATTCATCTTCTGAATGAACCAGCCAGGCGCCCCAAATGCAAACTATATTGTGTTAAGTGAAGATGCTGCTAATTGTAATGCCCAGGGCAACACCTAAGAAGATAATTCCAAAAAACGCTGTAAATGAAACAGGGAATTAAAAATATACACTAGGGGTGTATCAGTGTGTTAAATAGCTGCCTTCCGCTCAGGTCATGATCTCGGGCTCCTTGGATTGAGTCCCGCATGAGGCTTCCTGCTTCTCCCTCACCCTCTGTACTCTCAAGTAAATAAATAAAATCTTTTTTTTAAATACACTAGAAAATATCTATCTTAACAAAAGAAGGCAGGAATCAAGAAACAGAAAACAAAAAAAGAAACCCATAAGACATGAAAAAAATAGCAAAATGGCAGACATAAATCTTCTCAGTAGTTACATTGAACGTAAATGGGGCAAACAGCCCAATCAAAGGCAGGGAGTGCAGAATAGATTTAAACACATGATCGAACTACATGCTGTTTATAAGAAATTTAGGTTCAAAGGCACAAAAATGTTTAAAAGGATGGAAATAGATGCCATACAGAGTTACCAACAGAGAGGTGGAGTAGCTATGCAAGTTTGAGACAAAACAGATATTGAGGAGACAAAAACTATTACTTGAGACAAGAAGGACATTTATAATGATAAGAGGGTCTATCAAGAAGATGAAATTATTATAAATATATATGCTTCTAACAACAAAAGCCTGGGTGGCTCAGTCGGTTAAGGGTCTGCCTTTGGCTCAGGTCATGATCCCTGGGTCCTGGGATCAAGCCCTGCATCGGTCTCCCTGCTCAGTGGGGAGTCTGCTTCTCCCTCTCCCTCTGCTGCTCCCCCTGCTGTGTTCTCTCTCTTTCTGTCAAATAAATAAATAAAATATTTTTAAAAAGAAGAAAACTCCATCCAACAACAGAATACACATCTTTCTTAAGTGCACATGGAACATTCTCCAGGATAGACCATATGTTGGCCATAAAACAAGCCTCAATAAATTTAAGAGGATTGAAATCACATGAAGTTTGTTCTCCAACCACAGTGGAATTAAATCAGAAATTAATAACAGAAGGGGTGCCTGGGTGGCTCAGTCGGTTAAGCATCTGACTCCTGATTTCAGCTCAGGTCATGATCTCAGGGTTGTGAGATCGAGCCCTGCATCAGGTTCCATGCTCAGTGGGGGAGTCTGCTTGGGATTCTCTCTATCCCTCTCCCTCTCCCCTCCCCCCAATAATAAATAAATAAATCTTTTAAAAAATTAGTACAGAAGAAATAGTGAGAAGTTCACAAATATGTAGAAATAGAAAAATTCACTCCTAAATAATCAGTGGGTCAAAGGAGAAATCACAAGGGAAATTAGAACTACCTTAAAATGAATGAAAGCAAAAATACAACATATAAGTGTATGGGATGCAGCCAAAGCCGTGTTTCAAGGGAAATTTGTAGCTGTTAATATCTGTATTAGAAAAGAAGAAAGAGGGTGCCTCGGTGGCTCAGTTGGTTAAGCGCCTGCCTTCAGCTCAGGTCATGATCCCGGAGTCCCAGGATCGAGTCCCACATCGGGCTCCCTGCTCAGCAGGGAGTCTGCTTCTCCCTCTGACCCTCCCCCCTCTCATGTGCTCTCTCTCTCTCTCTCACACTCTCTCTCTCAAATAAATAAATAAAATCTTTAAAAAAAAGAAGAAAGATTTCAAGTCAATAACCTAACCTTTCACCTTAAGATACTAGAAAGAGAAGAGCAAACTAAACCTAAAGCAAGCCAAAGGAAGGACATAATAAAGATAAGCGTGGAAATAAATAAAATAGAAAGTAGAAAAAAATGGAGAAAATAAATAAGACTACAAGTTGATTCTTGGAAAGGCCACCAAAATTGACAAATATTTAGCTAGACTGGCCAAGAAAAAAAGAGAGCTAAATCTCTGCTAATTTCATCTTTTCCAAGAACTAAATTTTAGTTTTATTAATTTTATAATTTTTAAATTAATTTTCTTTATTTTTCTATTTTTGTGGCTCATTAAGGAAATGCAAATTATAACCACAGTGAGATACCACTTCACACCCACTAGGATGGCTTAAATCGAGAAAATAGAACACAACACATGTTGGTAAGGCCGTGGAGAAATAGGGACACTGTGAGAATGTAAACTAGCACAGTTGCTGTAGAAAATAGTTCAGTAGTTCCTCAAAGAATTAAACCTAGAATTACCATAGGACCTGGCAATCCCACGCCTAGGTATATCCTCAAGAGAAATGAAAACATACGTCCACACAGAAACTGGTACATGAATGTCTATAGCAGTATTATTCATAATAGCCAAAAGGTGGAAACAAGGCTATTGTCCATAAATGGATAAACAGATAAATAAATCATTGTATATGCATACTATAAAATGCTATATTATTTGTTCCATAAAAGGAACAAAGTATTGGTACATGTTATAACTTGGATAAACCTTGAAAAAATTATACTAAGAGAAGACAGACACAAAAGGTCACAAATTCCATGATTTCTTTTGTATGATATATATCTAGAGTGAAAAAAAACCCATAGGGACAGATTAGAGGTTACTAGGGAATGGGGTGCAGTGGGGATTGGGAGAGACTGCTTAATGGGTATAGGGTGTTTTATGGGGTGATAAAGTTTTGAAACTAGAGAGAGCTGGTGGTTGGACAACATTGTGGACACACTAAATACCACTGAATTGTACATTTAAAAAAGTTAATTGTATGTAATGTGAATTTAGTCTCTTTTAAATTTAAATTAAGGATACTCATAAATATGATTGTATTAGAAATTGAGATAAATACTAAATTCAGAATAATTTTGGAAGTTTTTTTTATTTTTTTAAAGATTTTATTTATTTGACAAAGATCACAAGTAGGTAGAGAGGCAGGCAGTTGGAGAGGGAGAAGCAGGCTCCCTGCTGAGCAGAGAGCCCGATGTGGGGCTCAATCCCAGGACCCTGCAATCATGACCTGAGCTGAAGGCAGACGCTTAACTGACTGAGCCACCCAGGCACCCCTGGAAGATTTTTTTTTTTAAGTTTTTTTTTTTTTTTTAATATGACAGAGAGAGACAGCGACAGAGAGAGGGGACGTGAGAGAAGGAACACAAGCAGGGGGAGTGGGAGAGGGAGAAGCAGGCTTCCAGCTGAGCAGGGAGCCCGATGTGGGACTCGATCCCAGGACCCTGAGATCATGACCTGAGCTGAAGGCAGACGCTTAACGACTGAGCCACCCAGGCGCCCCTGGAAGATTTTTTTAAAAGACTTATTTATCTATTGAGAGAAAGAGTGTGAGCAGGGGGAGGGGCAGAGGGAGAGAGAGACAAGCAGACTTCCCACTGAGCCCGATCCAAAGACCCTGAGATCATGACCTGAGCCAAAATCAAGAGTTGGACACTTAAGTGTCCGACTGAGCCAACCAGGTGCCCCAGAATTTTTTTTTTTTTAAGAAAAGAAAATCTTGGTGGGAATGTAAATTGGCGCGGCCACTATGGAAAACAATATGGAGGTTTCTCAAAAAATTAGAAATAGAAATACCATATGGCCCAGTAATTCTACTTCTGGGTATTTATCCCAAGGAAATGAAAACACTGACTCAGAAAGATACATGCAT